GCATGTGCATGCTGAGGTCTGGGATCTCTGTTGGACGATGTGCGCTTGACAGACCATTTCCACGTTATCAAGCGACCCCCTGCTGTGCGCAGCCCCAGTGAGCGGATTGGTTCTCTTGGAAAGCAGTATATGAAGTCGCGAGTCAGGCTGATTTGATTCGCCTGCGCCACAAGAGCGTTTCAGCGCAGGCATGCTGGGTTGTGGAAGCGACACAGCCAGAGATTCTTGGGAGAGCCCTGCCATGGTGGGGGTTGATTGAGGTCGTGAAGTAATTGCGTAGCTCGGCATTTCATGCCGGCTGTCTGAAAGCCCATGTAAAGAGATCTTCAAATTAGCTGACGATTTTGCGTCGAGCGTGTCTAGCTTTTGAACGCACTCAGACATCCAGCTGCGCTTCTACACCTGGCAATCAACTGTCAAAATCCCGGAAGCGAATGGGGCAGGGGTGGGTCGCAACTAAAACGAGTGCAGCCACATGACCCTGCAAAGCGTACAGCAGCCTCTGAAAGACCCTGCAAACTGGTGGGATTTCGGCGCAGCTGGCCTTTCTGGCCCTAAGCAGAGCTTGGCACTACCTCCAGGGGCTTGGCTGGGTGTATGCTGTCCGAAGTTCAGTCTTGTCTGGCTCTGGTGCATGGTGTCTCGCCAAGTTTTTTTCGACCACGCTGGCCTTATCCGCGAGGTGCAGTGGCAAGTAATCCGAGCACTTGATTAATTTTTGGGGCCCCCCTCACAAGGAATGAGGGGTGCCAGACTAAAAGAATGATTGGGACTCTTGGAATTCAACTAAGAAAGAATAGGAATGCATTCTTGCGTCATTGGGGCTCTTGGACCTCTATTAATTTAAAAAAAGGATAGGAATGTATTAAATATCTCTATTATCAGGATAGGGAGCCTAATTCTATCCATTTGCTTTTAGATATTGTCCCTTCTTATTGTTCTAGTACTCGGATTAAGCTGTCACGCGCGCAGCTCAACTTCAACGAGCCCTTCCATACTCAGAGCGCGCGTGCTCCACTCAGCAGCCGAGAGGCTTCCAGGCTTCTTCAATGTAGGTGGTTTTAACTTTTTGGATGCCGTGTTTCGTGATTTAGAATGAATCCACGCAAAGGCCATGACCTCCTGGCAATGCTTGGAAAGGAAGACAAGTCTCGGCCCTCCAATCGCATCTGGATACTTCACGGTAATTGGGGAGCACTGAGGCTGCCGGACGACAAAGTCGCCTCTGACCTGTCAAACAGCTGGGATCAGGAACGCAACACGGCGCTGGGAGCACATATGCCCTCTTTCTGGGCTGTGCAGGATGGACTTCTTCTCAGCAACATGCCTCCCTGGAGTATTGTGCGCTGGAGGCTTAATCCTGCCAATTAACTGCCCGGTACGCTTGCCAATGATGTTGATTGAGAATTCAGCGATCTGCATGCTGCTCCTGGTTAGGTCACACGCTGCTGGACAGACCAGACAAGGAGCAGACGAACATGCGGTCGCAGATCTTCCTGACATGCGTTGACTGTAGCAACCTGTTGCACCTCACGCTGTGATGGTTGCAATTCCTGGGTGTCGGTTGTGGCAGTCATCTCCCGCCTATTTACCACGACCTATCCGCATACAATGTCGTGTATTGCAACCGCTATTTGCCATCATGCTTATCAACACAGTCTCTCCTTACAACTGACATGAGCTTAAAATCCTGGAATGTCTTCCGCATAAGGATCATGGTTCCTTCTTAGTTGTCATCATTTTCCTCCTAGTCTTGGCTAGTGATAGCCTTTCCGCAAGAACTGATATGCTGATCGCTGTACATTCTTCCCTTGTAGCTCCCATCTGTTCCTGGGCTATTGCAATGCCTCTTTGGAGAGGAGACCACGACGAGGTCTCCCCAGAAGACGGCAAGACCAACGCTTTTGCCTTAGATGTATGAGGTCTGCACAGAATACTGTAGGAGGCCCTCAGGGACATAGGAATAGATGGGGGCTGCAGAGGCATAGGGTCACTGTTACGGATGCACCATCAAGGTAAGTTTGAGACATGTCAACAAAGCGACCATCATGAGATCAGGGACTTCACAGCGACCGCAATATCGCATGGCTAGGATTATGGAGCTTCAGAACTCTTATGCTGCATGATTGCTTGAAGTTTTTGCAGATGATAAGGACAGTAGGGCTCATCTACACTGAGGAGGAGGTGGGTTCGGGCTCGCGCGATAGAACTGAGGGATGTAGCAACCTGAGCCGGGTGTTCACTGTACGGGGTCTGCTTACCAAATGAGTAGTTGGCGGCCAACGCTTCCCAAACCTATACCGCAACTGCAATTTTTTGAATCCCAAATCCCAATCACCAAGCCATACGTTAGGGCACAGGGCAGAGCCACCCTGACCTCGAAGAGTTGCTGAGCGACTTTTCGCTGCCAGGTTTGAGTTTTCGAGCTTGGCTGAAAGGAGTGATGATATTGCCCTGTGGACACTTCCACAGCTGTGCAAAGAGGAGCTCATAAGAATCCAGGGCCAGGGAGAACGTTGATTGAGTTGCAGTTCTGAGAAGCTTAACCATTATCATAAGGCGCTCAAGAATGGACCCAGGATTTTTCCGATTCTTGCAGTGGGCCGATGGGTTGCTGAGATATGTGACCGGCTGACGACAATGCAGAAAATGACTAGTTAGTCGCCCTTGTCATTGCGCCCACTCGATCTCACTGCCTAACGACTGCGAGAGATCAGCAGACTGGCGATCTCAGGCGGAATTGAAGTTCATGTCTCTCTCGTTTTTCACCCTTAGACACAGTGTGGCAACGCGGGAGTGGTGACGAGCTGGTACCAAGGGTAGTAGCTTGAAAGAATTATTGGGCTACCATATGATGAGCACATGAAACCCAGCGGCTCACCTCTGCACACTGTATGCCTAGAGAAGAGCACAGATTCGACAGGAGTCGGAAGTCGCAAGCACATGCAAGCAGGTGTGAGTTTTGAACGAAAAGGTAGCATGCCCCAGCAGATGTATCTGTGAGCGTAAAAGCTCGGAACAGCATGCATCCGTAATGCACGAAGTTGATTACCGCCATGCATGTCTACATCGCAGCGGAGGGACATCATTTGTAAAGCATGTTGGACGGAATGGTTTCTGCCAACTCAGTGGGTTGCAAGCGATTTTGTAGTCGGATGAAACTTGATGGAGCAAGAACCCCAGATCCAGCAGTAATTTGCCCAGGCCCTAGGGGTGTGGCGCCACATCCCTCGCCATGGACAGCAGATAGTGATGGTCCGCCATGCGAAGCAAGGGTTTGGACTGGTCCAGAGGAGCAACTTATTTGCTGGCAGAGGAGTCTCAAGAGTTGGCTCGCAGATCCTTCGCTGCATTTTCTCATTCCGAATTTCACAATCGATTCTGGTCATGCGCATCAAAAGCCTTGAACATCTAGTCTGGAAATCAACATTTTGCAAGGCACAGGTGTCAGAGCCGTCGTCAGCAGCGAGGTCGCCTACCAGAGGCTACATGTCGATCAGGACCTGCTTGACGAAATCAGAACCCGCTGTCGAGTAGCTGTACGCTGCAGATGGCAGCAGGCACACATAATCAGTGGGGTCGGGAATGTGGATTCCACAAGCCTTTCGAGATGAAATCTTCCAAAATCAGCTCAAGCTTTCCGCTAGCAAACCGTCGAGATGTGATGCCAGCTAGCTCCGTGTGGTCCTGTTTTTGAGGAGGGCGTCTTCCTGGGCAAGCTTGAACGCACAGATTCCAATTATGAAGGCCGCCGCGACCTTTCAACGAGTTGCTGCAGTATTTCCCACCAACTTGTTCCAGGCGTTGCGGGTGCTGGAGCATGCGATTCCTGCGCAAGCTGGATTCAATCCTCGTGGAAGGCAGAAGCTGTCCGCATGTCGGGCTCGTGGAATCAGACATGCTCATTTTCAAACTCGTGGGATTTCATTCAGGTGCGGGCAATGCCAGAGTAACAGCAGTGTGAAAAGCTTTTGCTTATAGCCAAGATCCAAGACTACCAGACCATCCCCGCCCAAGCCATAGCATGGTAAGTGCCAGCTATGCAGGTGGCTGGCCCGAAGCACGCCAGCAATATTCTGGCCACCCATTTTGTCCTCAAGTCGCTAGGTCTCGCCGCTGTGCTCAGAGCCTTGAAGACCACCGCGGTAGTGCAATGGGTTCTTGAGCCCGTCTAAAACGCCACTCTGGGATCTCTGGGATCTAGCAAAAATGCGTTTCCGGCGCTGCGGAAATTCTTCGATTTTCCAGCGCTTTGGCGCTTCACTGCGCCAAGATCCCCAGCAGGGCCAGCACTTCCAAGCTTCGAAATCACCCAAACCACACAAAAATAGGCTGATTGTCAGGTCCTGCACTCCTTCCGTCGGTGCACGATGTTCTGTGATTTCCAGCACGCACCTATTGAATGAAAAATGTCACGCATGCGCTGAAGACGCATTTTTTGCAGATTCTACTTCCAGAACAGAACGAACCAGTTTTCTTACAATTGCTGTCCTGCGCGGCGCCTTTCCGAAACACATTTCGCAATTCAACCCTGTTCGGCACGTGTAGATCCACCGAGGAACCCCCAGGGACTGACCAGCATCAAGAGATAATTTGACTTAGAGGCTCCTCTCTCCTGGAAGCAACAGACCCAATCTGCCATTTCAGCATGCCATCTACTCAGCAAAAATGCAAATAGCTCTTTGGGCGAACCTTTTGGCATTAAGCAGATTGAACTGTTCAAATGCGAGATTGAGGCAGTACGCTTACATAGATCTTAGCTGCATGCTCACTCCGGCTAAAAAAACGATACCCGGCATCCTCAGGATCCGTGAAAGAACAAGTGCGATGAAACCCGTCCTTGTGATCTGAAGGCTATTCTGAGTGCTCTGGTTGCCTTGGCAGCCGCCGCCGGCGCGCAGACGCTTCTGCCTGCAGTGCACCTGAGCAGGTCCCGTCGCACTTCAAGCAGCATGTTTTGGGTGCTGTGTTAGGAACTTTTGTCCTGCAGGTATGTCGTCATGGAGAGAACTGTTCTGGATTATCCGGCGGCCTTTGAGGTGAATGCGGAGTATCGGCCAGAATGTGACACCAGGCTTGGCTGCAAAGAGCTTACACGAGAAGAAGGATCGAACAGAATGGCCAATCATGTTTACACAGCCGAGTGATGCAGAGGTTAGCTGCATGTTGATCTTGGATTTTGCTATTGGTACTGAGAGTGGCAGTGAACTGATAATCGCACGCGCTCTTGTAGTTCGGTGAAGGCTGTTGTGCATCCTGCATTATACCAAGCTGGCGTGACATTAAAGTTGTAAAGCTCTCGCAGAATTTGAAAACTTGTAGTGCCAGTGACTGGTGACCTACCAACAACACTGCAATACTGATGGACTAGTGCGCACAGTGCCTTTCTATAGCACGAAGGATTTCCACATTCATGTGTGTATTTCAGTCTTCAGTAAATGTATGAACGCAATGCATGATGCATTACACAACACATCCCAGAGCGTAAGTACTGTTGTGTGAAGTCCCCCTTCTCTTGTATAGGTGATTTCTCGCCGTTTCCTTCCTACAGTATTAAATCGATTGAAAAATCTTTGGCCGACAGGTCTTCATCCTTCGAGATGGGAAACAGAGCCTTTCTGGAAGACTTAGAGGCATCGGCAATCCACGCATTCCAAGCCAACCAATTTCAAATGCGCATTTCGGGTTAAATGGGAAGGTTGACTCCTGTCAGCCTACAGTTCCAGTGCAGATTGGAATCCAGAGACGAAGGGTTCAAGCCAAGCATACTCGAGCCATCGGCAGGACTTCAGTTTCGTGTTCTTCTCCATGGCAAGCATCGTGCCTCAACAGCATTCCAGGGCAGCTGCACCTGTGTACTTGCTTCGAGCCTGAAGCTGTTATTGGAGCAAACCTCTCGTCCTTGTTCCTGCAGGTTAACATGCTTACGGAAGTCATCAAGACAGCATCTGCTGTGCTGATGCCACCTGTAAAGCCCATACCAGGCAGGTGGGAAAGGGATGCAACGTGCACATTTGTCTGCTTCTGTCGCCCTGAAGACGCTGATCAATTTCTTCCAGACACCAGCCAACCCAGCAATGTGGCGCTTCGGAGATGCCCTACAAATCGCTTTGTGACGTGGATTGCTGTAATTGGTCTCCTTACACGAGCTGGCTTGCGCTGTGTGTTTCGGCTTGTGGTGGTAGCTGCCCATGACCACGCAAAGCCTAGGTTGGGAAGTTTAGTCCCATCTCCGCAGTATTTGTGGCGTTCTGGCCCGGATGCCATGGAGTTCACACCTGCAGCGGAGCATCTCGGAAGCAGTGTCGAACATTTTTCTGCGCGTTCGGTTCCTTGATCCCTGGCAGGGTGTTGCATCTGATCCCATTCCCGCGCTGCTGCCCAGGGATCTGATCGCCTTCGTGCAGGGTGGCCTTCTGGAGGGCCAGCGGTCCGAAGAGTCCGACAGTCAAGAGGGCTTTCCTGTGCAGCGCACTTCCGTGTGACCTCTGCGTTCATCAGGTCTGAATTTTCTCCAGCAGACTCCGTGAACGTTCTCATGGAGGCCAGCACTTCAGTGCATCAAATTCAGAGACGAGCGATTCCCAGACTTAAGCGTCCTGCTTGGCGCCAATATGAGGGCAAGGCATACTTCAAAGCCCGCGTAATGTGGCCATTAGTATTGAAAAGCTTCAGCAACCATGCCTCTTGAACAAGGCCCCTCACAGCATCAAGTTTGGCGGCATGACCGCTTTCTTCCCGTGGTCCATGCAAACTGCATGCCGCAGCCTTGGGCAAAGTAGGAAGAACGTTATCAGCTGCTTCAACACGATGATCATAAACTGTGAATATGCTCCCTAGGACCCCG